AATTTTCTACTATTTTAATAGTGTTTGATTATAAGTTAATTTTTGTGTCCGATCATTCTTTCAAGTAGAAAGATCCTAAACTCCCATAACTAGATCAAATTAGCTTCTCCTAAAACTAGATCGAATTACCTTCTTCGATCAGATCTTCCCTTCTCCAAATGGAATTGTGTCACTGCAAAAAGAAATGTCCTACTGTTGTCTATCTTCCACGGAGTTCTGCTCATTTCCCATGCCGAACGCAGCCGCAGATGGAGATACTGATCCAGGCTATGAGGTGGAAGACGACGACGAGTCGCCCTCATTAGGTGACCCAAAGTGTCCGAAACCATGCAATTTACATGCACAGAAGCCCCTCGGAGATAGAACCCACGAAGGCCAATAGACCGTGGAAGATAAGAGCGGAACTACTGGAGACTCCAGACTGTAGAAAATAAAATAAACTAAGCCCGCCAGACACCAAAAAGCCAGTCTCAGGCGAATTATGTTGTACGGCGACTTGGGGGCAGGGCAGGAGGTGCTAGGTATCCGAGAGATCGTTGCGGGGCGATACATAAAATTTGAATGCGTTTTGCATACATTAACCCACTGTTGCCCGAACCCGGCTCGGGGGTGACTAGGTGGAGGTAACGGTCGGCAGTGACCAGAGGCCAGCAGTGAGCAGAAAATGTGTTTATTAAATTTTATGATTATTGGCCTGCAATTGAGCAGCTTGCCTTGGGAATCGCTAGTGTCGCCAGTCTGCAGTTCCCATTCCCCATTGGGAAATTGAAATTTTATGCGCACAAGTCCTCCCTTTCAGAAAAAGACGAGAAATGGCCTGAAATTCTCACGCGTAACTGGAGCAGTTTGGTGTCTCAGTTCTCGGTTACAGTCCGAGTTGGTAATTCACTTTACGTTTCCGAAATGCTAATTAACCCGGCCAAGAAGCTCTATGGTTATTTTTGGGTGTTACACATGTTCTGGCGTTGTTTCTCCGGTCGTCTCCCGGCCTAATGTGCCACAAATTGAAAGTCATTAAGGTTTCATGAAGCCGGGGCCACTGTGAGCACGTTCCGCTCCCCTTTGGATAGACGGACATCAATCAGTAGTTTGAAATCGCTCATTACGAATGCAGATCTTGACTTTAAAACAGCGCCAGCGAACAGATTTTGGTCTAATTCTTAAAGATGCCCAGACATCTGGCGGAGGTACTTCCAATTGGAAAACTAATTAGAGCCGCGGTGGCGGGGGCGTGTGGCGGTACACTTCGCTGGACAATTTCAACGCTCCTCAAATTGGCAACTAAGTAAACTTGAAAGCCACCAGAGCTGGTCCAGTCGCCAGTCGTCCAGGTCTACACGCCCACTTTTCTGCGGGAACTGTTTGTTGTTGTGACTGCTTCGTTATGCAAATTTTGCTGACAAAATCCAAAGGAAAAAAAAAAGAACTGAAATAATAGCGGGAAAACAAAAGGCAGAAATGAACATTTTTGAGCTATATAGTAAATACATAAAGCAAATGCAAATGGTATATAAAGAAATGCCAGAAAAGACAAATAACATGCCGGGACAACAAATTTAAACGAGGGATTTCTTCAGCTTTTTTTGGCCTTATCCCTCGCTTCTTTGGAATAAATAATAAACGTAAACGAATTAAAAACGTCGGCCAAAAGCAAAAGATTGGTAGGAAGGACCTGAAGCTCTGAAGCCGTCCTTTCGATATTTTTCGGAGGCTGCTTTGGGTGACTTGTCTCTGGTATTGTTTACTTGGACCAAGTTTGTGCGGCTTTCAATTAGTTTTAATTGGAATTGCCATCGTTTTTAATTAAAGTTTCTGCCATTCTTAATGATGGAATTTGAATGGAAAAGAGTTGTGGTGCTTAGAGGTATTTAATCATATTTAATCATATTTAATCATATTGAATCACAAGATTTTATTGGCCTGAATAAAGTTATTCCAGAGGTTCTTGCAATTTTTGGCCACCCCTTTTTCAAATGGAATAAAAGAAACATTTTATTCAATTGCGGCGGCCAATGGAGAAAAACAAATAAAATTTATTTTCCCCAGAATTTGGTAATTTTTTTGGTCATTTTTCTGGTCAGCATAAAATAAAATGAAATGATGCGTTGAAAGCAAACGCAGAGCTCTTGGCTACTTTCCTCCAAAAAAAAATAAAATAAAATGGGCGGGGCCCAATCGTGTGTGGCTGCCAAAGGGGGTAGGATTTCATACACACACACATTCGAGGGGGGTGTGGGGTTGGTATAACGTTTTTGGTTCAATAGATACGCAGACCACTCGTGGTCCTCGTGGGGTCCTGCGTGGACCATTTGATGATTTTTGCGTCACCGTTGGTCAAAATCATTTCGAGCGCAAGCAACTGGAAACTGTATAAAAATAACGAAAAAGACGGATAGATAGTAGCAGAGAGAGACGGTAGAGGGAGAAGAGTCCAGTGCAGGAGCGATAGCAACTTGAAATAAATGGTCAAAAGAAATAAACAGTCCCATAAAGAATAATCATTCAGAATTCTGCTGAATTATGCATGAGGCAGACGGTCCATGGTCCGTGGTCCGTGATCCACGGAATACGGTCCAGTGTCCATCGCCCAGGAGCAGAAAACTGGACGCCGTTCCGGAGGCGAAAGCGGTTCAAGGAGCGGCCCAGTCAGCGCCAGCGGGGGGTGTGGCACTCACATATGCGCCCAGCCCCTCCAGGCCACCCCCGGCTCCTTCCCCTTTCATCCCATTCAACGCTGAAGCATCATTTTCCTCTTTATTATCTGTTTGCTTAGCAATGGGCGAGTGTGCTGGATTTTTATCAGCCTTCTAAGCAGTTGGCCAGGGTACACTAAGCGAAAAACAGAGGAGCTAAACTTAACAAAGACTATATTGTTAATAAATTATAAAAAATAATAAATAATAATTTATAAATTAAACTTAATTGTAAAATGATATGACAGACTTTGTTTGTTATAAACATAAAAGCTTCTTGGGTTTATTTAAAATATATCAAAGTTTAATATTTTCAATATTTTACAGTAACTTAATATCATAATAAATGCATTTTATTATATATATTAAACTATTTTATATTATCTTATTAAAACATGTAGTCAACCATATAAATAAAAACATTTCTTTAAAGCTTAAATATGAGATATTTGACATTAGCAAATATACATGGTAAAACTTATTTTTAAATTGACTTGAAGTTAACAAATATTTAAAAATGTGTACTGTAATTTAAAAAATATTTATAAATTGCAGAACACTAAGTAACAGATTGTAAAAGTTTGTATTTGTTTTATAATTCTTATTTTGATTAGCTTTGAAAACACTTAAAGTTTTTTCCTGTGTTAAATCCAAGATCTACTCCTATTTTTCTGGGAAGTTTTTTGATGATGGCGCTTGGAGTATCCCGCGGAGCTGCCTGACCGGCCTGCTTGGTGGCGCTTGGCCAAAAGTCAACCAGCATTCGCATAATTTTCGATAAAGCTTTTCGCCAAATGAAATTCAAGTGGTTACACATGTCTCGCTGTCCTCATCCGGGCTCGCAACCCACCTCCTCATCCTCCAAAACCCCGGGCATATTTCGGTTTGGTCATTTTTCTTGGACACCCCCAGTTATATTTTTTCTGGGTTGACCCCCAGCCCAGTTGCCAAATCATTCTCATTTCCACATTACTATATATGCCGCATCTGATTATCTCCGTTTGGCTGTTTGTTTGCTTAGTTTCTTTTGTGTTTCGTTTGTTTGTTTGATTCTTTGTTGTTTTTGCCGAAAAATGCTGATAATAAAAGGTAATGATGGGTTGGGGGTCTACCTATATGTGGGTTATCGCCTAGCCGGAGGGCAGTCACATTCCAAATGGAAACTTTAAGTTCCGATAAAGCCATGTTCGTGGGGATGCTCCGTGATGATTATTCAAAATAGCTAATCAATTAAGAAGTGTTTGGCACTCTCACTGCGGTTCGCTGCGTAAATTTTGTAATTTTCCACATTATTTCGAATGTTAATTTCTATTTAAATGTCTGGCCCGTGCAATTTTAGTGTTTTTCTGGCCACGGGGATCTTACACAATGCGTTCATGGAAGCGGCGGGGACTCGTCTGGACACCTCAGTCCGGATTTATAGACCCAAGTTATCAGGTAGACGAGACCGCAGCAGACGCTTATGCCTGCGGTTGTCCGGATTGCATCAGATGAGAGGTGCACATCCAGAATCAGCTCCCCAATCGGTTCATCGAAAGGCAGTTGATCACATGGCTCAACTTGTCCGTGCCTATAAACAAGTTGTTTATAAACTATTATTAGCCCAAGTGATTAGTTAGCGACTAAGCTGAAATTTGTTTATTGTTTTCGATCGGCAATCGTGTGATTGGACGATGGGCTATCGATCAACCCTCGCTGGACCGCACTCCGTTGGGGGCCGCGATAACACAGCCCATTTAAATACTTCGGAAAAAGAAAAATATAATTAAATCTGTTATTGTTTACGCGAAATGTGCATGGAAAACGCATCCAAAGTGCGTCAATGAACGCATTTTCCAATCCACCCGATAGGCAACAATGTAAAATGCAAGCAAGCATAGTGGTGGTTTGCATAAGGACTCTGTCTCCAGGCCGGGGGGCCCTAAATAAACAATTAAACTTTGATCTTGAATGCATGTGCCAGTCAGTCCGGCTATGCCCAGCGCATTCCGGCCCAGTGATAAGCCAGAAGTCGGGACTGATTGAGGCCTCACATGACTTAAGATCAATGCCAATGTGGCTGTGCGATTTGAAGACTAGACGGACATAACGCGGTCATTGCTTCTTCGCGGCTATCCACCGATTGCCAAACGTGAGAATATCATATTTCAGCGCTTATTCGGCATATTTGGCGAATACCCCGCCAGCCCTTGGGGCTTCAAGTTTCGATTTTCGCCGATGCGGTTTTCCCCCTCGCCCAGTTGCATTTCCCCATCGCGATCGCTTCCCCAGCGTAACTGATAAGTGTATCAGCTACTGTTTGCCATATATGTACGTACCGCCGATCCGATGATGGTGATGTGATGTGATGATCGGAGGTTTAATTAGGCGCGGCTGTAACATGAACATTCATAATTCCGCTGGCATTCAATCAATGCAGACGTGAACGATTCCGATTCCTATTCCAATTCCAATTCCAGTGATCAAGTGCCAGCGATCTCGTGCAAAGTGCTCAGTGTCTCAATTCTTCTCAACTGAATTCCCACAAAAGTGGGTCCTCAAAGCCAGCCCATAAATATCTTTAAAAGCTAATTAAGTCAACAAGAAACCCACCATGGAAAGTGATTCGGGAAACTGCTGTGCCAATCTCAGAAATGGTAAGGATCAAATTCTTGAATAATAAAAGTGACTGATAAACGTATGTAATTGTGAACTTTTCTAAATCAGGCAACGAGTGCTGCAGGAAGACTACAGTTTCAAAGGAAATAGTGCCCAAAGTATTTCCGGACAAGATCTACAAATCAGAGCAACCCAAAGGAGTGGATGCCACGGGAATGACCTGCGAGTGTGGAGTGTTTGGAGCCATTGCTTGCGGGGACTATCCGACACAGGTGGGTGTCCTAAGGGTTACCAAAGTTTTACAGGATAGGGTTCTTGATAATATGTGTTCTATAGTATAGAATCTAATCTATAGAATCTGTAGTATTAGGCACACAAACAGGCACATTTATTTAATATAAGAAGGGAAGATGAGAATTTAATATTAGGATAGAAAGATATATTAGATATTAGGAAAATAGGAAAACTGTCTTTTATAAATTATAAAACTATTTAAATATTTGCTTACACTTCATAGAAGTATTTTCTTAGGACCCTAAAATCAAGGTCTGAAAATCTCTTAAAGTCTGTATTTAAAAATGTCACGTTTCAAAATTGTGTGGAATGATTAGTCGAAATAAAGTCCGTGCCAAGTACCCTTTATATTAAAAAATTATAATCGTAAAAACCGTAAGTCATCTCTGCTTCAGACAGATCGCAATCGGTAGCTATCATGTAAAGTATTACTTGGCAAATTTTAGAGTCTAATAATAACCTCCTACAACCTGAACTTTCGTATTCGATTACCACTCAAATGAGATCAGAAGGCGAGCATTGAGCCTGTCAACTGCAGATCAGAAACCTAACAAGATTCTATGCTACATGGCCATACGTCAGACGTATGCAAATGGCTTGCAAGTGGGTCAATGGTGGGCCCGCTCAGCCACCAAAGCCGCCCCCCACCTCTCCCCTTTTCTAAGGCGGTTGCTGTGATGACGTCAATGAAATCGGAGCGTTTCGCGGTTGTAATCAGTGGCGCAGCCGATGACATCTCGGCTGATATTTTTGTGTATTCTCTGTTTTATTGCTGACTGTAATGAAATGGAAAATAACAGGAAAGCACTCCCGTTATCGGCGGTAAGCAACCAGAAAACTCTAGCAGCAGACTCTAGACCCCTCCGTGGGGGTCGATGTTTTTAAAATGACCAGTGTTTTGATTGAATATAAATATATTATTCAAAAACACATATATCAAAGTGCCACATTAAGCGTCTACAATATTTTTTGAGACGCTTAATATTCCATTATTGTTTATTGTTTAAAAACTTGTAAATACCAGCATAATTTTACTTTGAAATAATAATTTCTTATTTATTATTAGTGAAAAAAAAGTACATTTTGGGAAAATTTAATCTGAAGAATCTGAAATTAATCTGAGCCAGTTCTGAGTGGCACTGGAACGATTTCTCCCAGAGATGTTAATGAAGATTATAAATATTAAACTGAGGGATGCTGTTCGTCACCTACGTGGACTGTCGAACACAGTAATAAAGTACCTAATACTATTTAAATGACAAATTATTTAAATTATAAAAGAATTTATTTTGGTTTTTGAAATTTAACGTATTATTTAAAAGATAGGAGAATTTTTCTAAAACTGAACGAATAATTAAAACATAATAATAAAAAATATAGTAAATAAATTTATAATATTTTATAATGTAAATAATATAGTAAATATAATTTCAATTATTATTTTTATTTATTTATTTCCTTACAGTTGGACATTGCTCAAATGATCTGCTTGGGATTGGTGGCCCTGCAGCATCGAGGCCAGGAGTCCGCAGGAATAGTCACCAGTCTGGGAAAGTGCTCCAAGAACTTCAGCGTCCATAAGGGCATGGGAATGATCAACAATCTGTTCAACGACGAGGCCATTAGGAAGCTGAAGGGCAACCTCGGCATTGGACACACCCGGTACTCCACAGCAGCAGCCTCTGAGGTGGTAAACTGCCAGCCCTTTGTGGTGCACACGGCCCATGGAGCCCTCGCCATTGCCCATAACGGGGAGCTGGTAAACTGCGAGTCCCTGAGGAGAGAGGTCCTGGAACGAGGAGTAGGTCTGTCCACCCACAGTGACAGCGAGCTGATCGCCCAGTCCCTTTGCTGCGCCCCCGAGGATGTGTCCGAGCATGACGGACCCAACTGGCCGGCCAGAATCCGCCACTTTATGACCCTGGCTCCGCTCTCCTACTCCCTGGTGGTGATGCACAAGGACAAGATCTACGCGGTGAGGGACTCCTACGGCAACCGGCCCCTGTGCTTGGGAAAGATCGTGCCTGTGGATGCAGGACATGCGAATATCGAGGACCAGGTGGCCGAAGGTTGGGTGGTCAGCAGCGAGAGTTGCGGCTTCCTCTCCATCGGAGCGCGATACGTCCGGGAGGTGGAGCCGGGCGAGATTATAGAGCTCTCTAGGAATGGCTATAGAACCGTGGACATTGTGGAGCGACCGGACTACAAGCGCATGGCGTTCTGTATCTTTGAGTACGTTTATTTCGCCCGCAGCGATTCCATGTTCGAGGGTCAGATGGTGTACTCCGCCCGCCTGCAATGCGGTCGCCAGTTGGCCAGGGAGTCGCCCCTCGATGCGGATCTGGTCAGCTCAGTGCCCGAATCGGGAACAGCAGCCGCCCATGGCTACGCCCGAGAGTCCGGCATGCCGTTCGGGGAGGTCCTCTGCAAGAATCGCTATGTGGGCCGCACATTCATCCAGCCCTCCAACCGATTGAGGCAGCTCGGAGTGGCCAAAAAGTTTGGAGCCCTGGCCCAGAATGTTGAAGGCAAACGCATCGTGCTGGTGGATGACTCCATCGTGAGGGGCAACACCATTGGGCCGATCATCAAGCTCCTGCGGGATGCGGGCGCCACCGAAGTGCACATCAGGATCGCCAGTCCGCCCCTGCAGTATCCCTGCTACATGGGCATCAACATTCCCACCCGGGAAGAGCTCATAGCCAACAAACTGAACGCCGATCAACTGGCGGACCATGTGGGAGCCGATAGCCTGGCCTACCTGAGTGTGGAGGGACTGGTGAAGGCCGTCCAGATGAACAAAAGTCACGTGAATCCCCTGAAGGCCGGATACTGTACAGCCTGCCTAACGGGCGAGTATCCTGGCGGACTGCCGGAAGAGCTCAGCTGGTAGCTTTTAACGCTTCAACTCTCTGGTAGTCTTAACGTAGTTGTAAACTCAAGTGTGTACATAAAATATATATTATTTTCTACAAAAATGGATCAGCAAGGGAATTATCTGATGGTTTACTTACTTCTTTGAGTAATATTTCTTCTGAACATTTTTCTTATAAAAGATCAAATCTTTCTTTGGGGGATTTCCTTTCCCAAGGACTGGCACTTCCTGACTTTGAGTGATGAAAGAGGAACACATACTCTAAATGCTAATGGGCACCACATCAACGTCTGATTATTTCCAAAAGTGTCTAATGCCATAACTTCAATTCATTTCAATTTATATTTCCAAGCTCTGTTTGCCGAGGAGGACATGGGGCGGCGGCTTCCGGTTATAGCCAAGCTCAGATATAGCCTCATATCATACAATATGGTAATCATGTTTGCTTTTTTCGCCTTGTCTCTTTCCGGCTGGGTTCTGCCCCCCATATCCTTGTGTTCCTTCTCCCTTATCCCCATTGGGGCGTTGCAGTGTCTAAAGCGGGGCGTTTAGGGCGTTTAATCCTGCGGAAGATGTCCTTGCGGTTATGCAGGGGGCTCTCCGCCTCTGGCCCCGTGCATATAACTTTTTTTTCTTCCTTTTTTTATGACTCGCGCCGGGTACTGGAGTCAACAATGTCATCATTATTCTTGAATATTGTGTTGTATTTTCGCAAACAATTTCGCTAAGCTGCGCGGCATTGGCAAAGTCGCAAAAGGAGGTGGAATGGGTTGGATTGGGTGTTGGGTTGGGTTTGGGGATTTCGGGAGGGATGTTAGCAGCAGAGGGTGGACGGAAGTGTGCTGAGGACATGCGAGAAGAAAATAATATGCGCTGTCATTGTAACTCGCTTGATTAATTCTTGTAGAGGATATACGGGGTCTAGTCTGAGTTTTTTAGGATTTTGAAAATTTGCGTATAAAAATTTTATATTAAAAACGATAATTAAAACAGGATTTAAATTATAACCATCTTATTGCATCTAATCGATGTACTTGTTATTAAAAAAATAAAAGAAAATGAAGTAAGATTATTATGAAATTTTCTAGTTATTTTTACATAATCTGTGTTATAAAACCTTTATTCTACAGTAAGAAGATAAAAGATAATTTCTCATACAGATGATTTATAGATTCTTTCCATATTTTTGGGGGATCCCCATTTGACAAAGATTTTGACAAAGGCTTTCTAATTAATTAAAAAAACTCTTTAAAAAACTTGAAAAACACCTTTAATTTATTTATTAAATTAAAGAGTATATTTGTGTCTGCTGAGCTCGTTTGCCTTTGAAGTAACTCCTATGCCACTCCATCTGAGGCATCACCAAGTGGCTACATAAAAGAAACGACTTCTGGCAACATTGAAAACAGACGCTGGCACTTCTATCCAACACACCAGCACCGCTTGCCGCTACAAGGATATCAAAGAAGGACCAAGACGCCCACGAAAAAAATAAAATATATAGAGCGAGAACGAGAACGGTTATGTGCAACGTCGGTCACAAACACAAACAACCGCTGCCACAGACAGTGACAACTAAGCAGAGCCAAGCCATATTGCCGGGCCCCAGATACACCCTCTGGAAGAGCCCCGAAGACCCCGGAAAACCTCCTCCGCTGCGCCGCAAAACATGCTTTAAATTTTTTAATAACGCCGGGCTACAAGAGCGCTGACGCCCACGTCCGGACCTGGGATCCGGCTTTCGTGCCCAATGATGACGGCAACTGGCCCCGCCCCTCCGTCAGCCCACCGCCCATTCGCCCAACGCCCATCAGTCCCCCCGCCCCAACGTCGTCATTTGCACAGAAGTTATGTAAATTAATGTTTACTTAAGTTCCCCATGTTATTTCTTCCTTGAGTTCCTTTTTTTTTGCCTTGCACTTTCACAATGTTTCCCATTTTGGAAAAAACAAAAGCAGACAGCAGGTTTCTAAGCCTGTGGGGTGTGGGTCCCAAAGGTTGGCCAAAAAAAATTATTTTTTGCAATAAATTTGGCAGTCACTTTTGCAATTTAATAAAAAGCTTTCATGGGGAGTGTGGGACGGACGCCCTGTATAAACAATCGGACTTATTATTGAGTCAAATAGCTGAGCGAATGTATGAGCCAAAATTATGGCATTGGCATGCAAATGAAATGGCCAGAAGTGGCTGGATGTGGCTCATCTCGATTATGAAGCCATTATCCGAACACTTCATTTAAATTGTCGCCACAGAAATTTAATTTAAACATCGCAGGCATATGCCCCTGGGCCGACACTTGGCACATGCAACAAGTATTCGAATGGGGAGGATGGGGAAACCACACGCAAACAAAGGACTCCTTGTCGGCTGGATGTCCTTCGAATTTCCTCACTTTTCCCTGCGGTTGATAGGCACGCAAAACGTGCCTGGCATGCAAGACATGCCATGGCAGGAACGACAACGAATCAAATGTAATTTTCTGGCCAATAGAACACTTTGTTCGTCCTGGTGGCTATCAGGATGGCCTTTCGACTGAATATCCTTTCTTCAGTTCATTAGCAAATCAAACTTCCGTCTTTGGTTTCAAGACATGTGTCCGACAACCCGAAAGGTCCAGAACTCCTGGCCAGTAAAATTTGCATTCCTTGAACCCTTGAACTGGCCAACAAGATGTCCTTATGTTCAGCTGGTAATTTGATTTAAAGGATATGCCTTGACCAGTTAAGAGTGGCTAGAAAATAAGGTAAAATGTATTAGTTAAAACCAAAACGGAGCCATTTTAAAGTCAAAACATTTTTCCCCAGCTAATTTTCTATTCCCAAAGTGGAATCTAATCAGCTTGCCGCACTGCCATCTATTTTTCGAGAATTAGCATAATATTTTTGCGGGCGCTTTCAGGGACTTGGGTAGACTCAACAACATTTCCACAACTTTGCGTTAATTTTCTAAATATTTTCTAAAATTTCCAAATTGCATTTGGAGCACTAACGAGGCTGACAACGAGCTGGCGATGCCCCAGGGCGATCCCAAGCTTACTTTCCGTGCCCCAGCTCACTCAGCAAAAACATCAGAAAAAGTGGAAAGTCCCCCGTACCACCCACGCCGCCACCCACTAAATTCATGTACAAGCTGAATTTTATAATTTAAAATTATGAACTAAAAATAATTTAATTTTAGTGACTTGCACGCAGAGCTCCAACTTCATAGACCCTGGATGCCCGTTGGCTGAACAATTTTCGGGTTTTGCGGTGTGCCGGTGTGGCGGAGGGAGGTGTACTTTCTGGGCGGACACAGGCAGGAAATTAAGTGCATTATATATATAATGCTAGTTATTGTGCACAACACCAACAACAACAACAGTAACAATAACAATAACACCAGAAAATACAACAAAAGCGCGTTGAGGTAATAAATATGCATGAAGTGTGTTTTTGTGCACCAAAGAATGCAATTTCCCTCGAAACTCAAAGAGGGGAAGGGGGCGTGGCGGCCATGGCGGCTGGAGGGGAGCCTACATTTGACATCGCGTGCTTGGGGGCGATTTTCCCGCTGCATTGGCCAATTCTGAAGAGCCAGCAAAGATAATAACGATAATTAAGGCAAGCGGCAAACCAAATCTCTGATTTGAGTGACATGCAACAACAAAATAATTCACAGCAAGTGCGTTTATGAGTGTGAGTGTGTGTGTCAGATTGTAATTGTAAGAATGAAGTCGCCATTTTGGTGGCTGCACTTCCGGCCATCATTGTCACGGGGAGCGGCAGAGCATGATGGATAGGTTAAGATTTAAAAAAAAAAAACCAATAAAAAAAAAGAATTATTTGAAAAATTATATGAACCTTTTTGGTAAAAGAGCCTTTATAACTGAAAATCCCTCTTTAAATGATTTAATATCTCTAACAATTCCGCAATCACAAGGTTCTTAATTAATAAATTAAAACCGTTTACCCTCTCTTTATGGAATTTTCAATTGCTGGGATGGATTTTTTAACGATTGTTGGGGTGTAGGCAGTTAATTTGTTTTTTCTGTATTACTGGTTCATTTTTCCTTGTTGTGGTTGTTAGTACTGATATGTTGGGGCAGTAGCACCTGGGCAACTGCATCTGTTGTGGTTCCCATTGCGTGTAAGTTCATTATGTTGCCAACAGTTGTTGTTCTTGTTGTTGTTGCTCTTGTTCATTGTGTGCTGAAAAGCACAACAACCACAATAACAACAAAAACAACAACATCCGCAGTTGTCTGGCCACCATTGCAAATTTCTACATGGTCGCTCAACTGAAAATTGTTTGTGCAGTTTTATTTTTTTCCCATTTTTTTACACACATTTTTTTTTTTGTATTTTCAATGTTGTTGTTGTTTTTGGTGGCCTGTTGTAAATTGCAATTTCCCGTTGCTTTTGTTGGTTACTTTTGTTGTTGTTTTTGTTGTAAAGTTGGTCTTCGCTGACGGATTATTTATTATTTTAATTAATTTATTTAAATCCATAGCCTAAAGGCTTATCAGTGATGTGGTTAATTTAATTACAGCTCATTAATTAATGTAAACTTATTGCAGAGTTAATAATCGTGGTAAAACTGCTTTACGGATAGGATATATTAATGATAACAAACGAAATGAAATGCTCCATTAAACACATGCATAAAATATTAATAATCTTTTAATTAATGGCAATTAAATAATAATAAAGTTAATGATAAAGTTCATCGAATATTTTATAATGTAATTTCAGAATATAAAGATCTTATAAATGTAAATATTAACATAAAATGTAAATATTTCATAAGATTTACAGTCCATGCCTATAGATTTGCAAAACAAATTAAAAAGTCGAATAATATTTCATTTTTTTAAGGCATGTCTATTTGACTAGTATTACTTTAATATTTGAATAAAAATATTAGATTCAAATATTATTTTTAAGAACATTTTGGCAACATCCCTTCATCCCTTATTTCAAGCGCTTCGCTATTCCGCCCCCGGAAAACCATCGAAGCTTACTGAATCCAAAAACTCCGGCAAACTCCACAAGTGCTTCCATGTTTTTCGGATTGCCGCCGGAAAGGACTCCCTTTCACGCATGTCCTTGGCGAGTGGAGCTCGTTTCGTTTTATTGTGTTTTGGGTTTGTGCCCTCACTAAGGCCGTGAGTGGCGCCACCTGGCGACCCTGAGTAAGTCTAG